CTCACAGCAACCTTCAATTCCTGGGCTCAAGTGAGTCTCCTGCCTCCACCTCCCAAGTAGCTGGGACCACAGGCGCCCACAACAACACCTGGCTATTTTTTTTGGTTGCAGCCATCATTGTTGTTTGGCGGGGCTGGGCTGGATTCGAACCTGCCACCTTAGGTGTATGTGGCTGGCGCCTTAGCCACTTGAGCCACAGGCATCAAGCCTATTTGTTAACTTTTAAAAAGTTTTTTTTTTAAAGTTTTGTTACATGTTGGGATTTATTTTCTCACTCTATTCACCTAATTTGGAATATGTAAATTTCTTTTTGAAACAGAGTCTCACTATGTCACCCTCAGTAGACTGCCATGGCTAGTCTCCAGACCTAAAACTGTTTATGTAAAGAAATATGGCTTATGCTGAAGACCTGTTTTCCTGCTGGGAATCTGGAATTTGGGTATCTCTCTGGCAGAAGGTGCTGTGTAACCAGCCCTTCAATGCCCCTGAGCTGGGCTGTAAAGGGAGTGAAGATTTATGGCTGTAGCCAAATTAACAAGGGCACTGTGAAGTGCTGTATCTTCCCTCTTCTTATAGACAGGCCAGTAACAGAAGCAGCAGACAGGCTTATCACTGGTGATTGTGCTCTTGCCAGTGATTCTGCCCTAGAGACATGGTTTTTGAGCAAGAACTGAGGCCTGTGGCTCTTACCCCTGCTGTTCATTCAAGAACTCATTATAGAAGCAGATTCTCAGAAACATTTTTTTAAAAGAGAAAAGTTTACCATTTCCTTTCTACCTATTTAGCTCTTTTCAGATATTATGAAAACAGAGCCCCAGGCGGTACCTGTGGCTCTATGAGTAGGGTGCTGGCCCCATATACCGAGGGTGGGCCCTGGTCAAACTGCAACAACAAAAAATAAAGCCAGGTGTTGTGGCAGGCACCTGTAGTCCCAGCTACTTAGGAGGCTGAGGTAAGAGAATCACATATGACCAAGAGTTGGAGGTTGCTGTAAGCTGTTGACACCACTGCACTCTACCGAGGGCGACAAAGTAAGGCTCTTGTCTCTGAAAAAAAAAAAAAGAAAGAAAGAAAACAGAGCCCCATAGGGGTACCGGGTCAGCAAGCAGAGAGGCCAAATATGATCAATCTTAGCCCTTGCTGAGAATTAGATGATTTTTCTGTTACTGATATTTTTCTGTTATTTTAGCAAGGCCATCCTTTTGAGAGAGGATACCCAGGAAACGTGAAGTCTGGAAGAACAAAAGGATTTCTCAGAGAAGCCCAAAGACACATCTGCAAGGTCCTCTCCATAGTAACCCAGTTTTTTGTTTGTTTGTTTGTTTTTGAGATAGAGTTTCACTTTGTCACCCTCAGTAGAGTGTGGTGGCATTATAGCTCACAGTAACCTCCAACTCTTCCGCTTAAGCTATTCTCTTGTCTCAGCCTCCGGAGTAGTTGGGACTACAGGTGCCACCACAACATCCAGCTATTTTTAGAGACAGGGTCTGGCTCTTGTTCAGGCTGGTCTCAAACTTGTGAGCTCAGGGCAATCCACCCCCCTGGCCTCCTAGAGAGCTAGGATTACAGGCAACAGCCACCACACTGGGCCAGTAACCCAGCTCTTCAGAATTTGTAACACTGTGCAAAAAACAAAAAAAAAAAAATCAGGGTGGTGCCTGTGGCTCAAAGAAGTAAGGTGCTGGCCCCATATGCCAGAGGTGGTGGGTTCAAACCCAGCCCCGGCCAAAAACTGCCAAAAAAAAAATTGTAAAACTTAGCTTTCTGGTTCCTTGAAGCTAATGCTTGCTGCTTGCTTCCCCCTCTACAAACCCTGCACATGATTTGACACCTCCAATGAGAAGTAATACGGTAATTCCTTTTCCCATCTACTCGTGAATCCAATAAAATTACAAGGACAGAGTGTTATGCCCGAAATTCTCCCAAAAGACCCCCACAGAAAGTCTGAGACACACTCCGATGTAAAAAGCACGAGATGAGTTTATTTCAGGCCCCGGGAAGCCTGGACTCTCCTGGCTTGCAAGCCTAGGACGAGCCCCGAACCCGGGGTGTAGGAAGTTTTTATGGGGTACAGAAAGCAAGGGGGTAGGGTCCAGTACGAGTACACTTTTCTTTTTTTTTTTTTTTTGAGACAGAGCCTCAAGCTTTCCCCCTGGGTAGAGTGCCATGGCATTACAGCTCACAGCAACCTCCAACTCCTGGGCTCAAGCGAGTCTCTTGCCTCCGCCTCCCAAGTAGCTGGGACCACAGGCGCCCGCCACAACGCCCAGCTATTTTTTGGTTGCAGCCGTCATTGTTGTTTGGCGGGTCCGGGCTGGGGATCCGAACCCGCCACCTTAGGTGTACGTGGCTGGCGCCTTAGCCGGTTGAGCTATAGGCGCCGAGCCACGAGTACACTTTTCATTGGTGGTTGGTGATTTCATTAGTAAAAGAGGAAGTAAAGGAGGATTTGCATTGGTAGCTGATGATTTCACTAGTAAAGGTGAATTTGGATTGGTACAGGTGAGGGGTGGAGGGTCCCTTAACCGGGGGCTAGAGTTGGTGCAACCTGGTTACCTGTATTTCAAGGTAATAGAAACTTATTGTTTATTATAGCAACTATTTGCCTAAGGTGACTCAGTTTACAGCGCAGTGGCTGTGCAACCTGAGGTGGGGGAAAGCAGCAGGGAGTGGCCCTGCAGGTTTCACTGGCAGAGGTTGGGGCGGAAGGGCTATGCCGTAAACAGCTAGGAATGGGGCTTGTGCTGTAAATAGCCAAGAATGGAGCCTGTGCTGTAAACAACAAAATGGAGCTAGTTTGGCTCTCACAAGAGCTGATGGGGAGCTTCATCATTTTGGATTCTAGTCTGCTGCAGCTCCGCGGTTGAAATCAAACCTCTTCCTCTTCTATTCCAGGTGTTTGGGTGACTCTTTCTGTCTGCTTTCTCTCCACTGGGCCTAGATTCCTGCAACACTTTTAAAAGTTAAGACTGCTCTACAAAGAATATCATGTCTAATTCTTTTTAGTTTTTAAATTTTTTTTTAAGAGTCTCACTTTATCATCCTCTGTAGAGTGCTGAAACGTCACAGCTCACAGCAACCTCCAACTCCTGGGCTTAGGCGATTCTCCTGCCTCAGCCTCCCGAGTAGCTGGTACTACAGGCGCCCACCACAACGCCCGGTTATTTTTTTTGTTGCGGTTTGGCCGGGGCAGAGTTTGAACCCGCCACTCTCGGCATATGGGGCTGGAGCCCTACACACTAAGCCACAGGCGCCGCCCCACTTTTTATTAGCTATCTTTCGCCCTGTATTTCAGACATTTTTTTCAAAGGACAACTGGAAAAACGAAACGGTACGAAAACGAGAGAACAGAAAATGTGTGGCCGCTGAAGGACAGAGACCAAGATGTGCAACTTGCCTCCAGCAAGACCTGCCACTGCAGCGACCCTGGGTCGCACTCATGGTACTCCAGGGGAACGAAGACCACCAAGCTTCCGGGATAAGGAATTCGACCGTGGACACCCGGGAGCCAGATGTGCGACGGACTTCCGGAAGTCTTGATTCCGCGCGCCGGAAGTGGGAACGGATCGCGGAAGTCCGATTCCTGGAAAGCCCAGGCAGCTGGTAGATGTAGTTCTGTGAGGCTGGGAGCCGGGCTGGCAGTGGGGCGGAATGGCGGGACTGGAACTCTTGTCTGATCAGGGCTACCGAGTGGACGGGCGGCGCGCCGGGGAGCTGCGCAAGATCCAGGCGCGCATGGGGGTGTTCGCGCAGGCTGACGGCTCGGCCTACATAGAGCAGGGCAACACCAAGGCTCTGGCAGTGGTCTACGGGCCGCACGAGGCGAGTGGCCGTGCGCGAGTCTGGGAACTTGTGGGGCCGGGAGGTGGAATCGCGCTGCAGCAGGAACTGCGGTAGGCGCCGCGGGGCTGCCAGACTGAGCTGAGGTTCGGAGGCGATGGCCCAGCGTTTACGTAGCAGCTGCTCGGTGCCATATCTCTCTCAGTGTAACGCCACGGTCTTTTTACAGCGTATGGCGCTGTGGTCCCTTTTTTATCGGTCCCTGTCCCTGCGTATGACGCCACCTCACTCCACCTTCTCTACACTGCAAATCCCCTTTCTACAATAAACACTTCCTTGCCTTAACGCACCTGCCACTTCAAACGTCAATTTTGCTTAATCTCTTTCACCTTTGTCACCCCCATCCGCATTCCTAACATAAGCTGTCTGAGGATAAGGACTTTAAATAAAACCACCTGGTTTTACTGCTATTTCCAGCGCCGTAACAGTGCCTGGCTAACACAGACACTGGAAAAATGTTTGCTTAGGACATAAGCATGGGGACCCTGCTTTTCCAAGCTGAGAGCTCCAGGAAGGCGAATGCCTCAGGATCTCTCCTGAAACATGCATAGCACTGGTAGGGAGTGGGGGAGAATTCCAAATAGGGTTCAGGATCTCCGGGGAAGTGAGGGCTCATGTCACTGTAGATAGGAAAGGGATTTGGGATTTTATTTCACACTTAATGGGAAGCCTTTGGAAGGTCGGTAGGGTGTATGTGTGCAGGTAAGACTGGGACATGAAAAGCTGGGAGGGAATGGGCAAGGACGAGCCTAAGGAAGCCAGTTAAGACTGCATGCATGCCAGAGGTGGTTGGCAAGCGACTCTCTCTCAGCTGTTTTTTAGTGTTGCTGGGACACTGGAAGTGGAGGGAGAGGAGAAATGAAGGCTGAGCCAGGAAGGAGTGGGGAGTGTGACCTGGGAGGACTGTACCTGGCTCATGTGTCCTTCCTTCTCCAGATCCGGGGCTCCCGGGCTCGAGCCCTGCCCGACAGGGCCCTGGTGAACTGTCAGTACAGTTCAGCAACCTTCAGCACTGGTGAACGCAAGCGACGGCCACATGGAGACCGTAAATCCTGTGAGATGGGCCTGCAGCTACGCCAGACTTTCGAGGCAGCCATCCTCACACAGCTGCACCCACGCTCCCAGATTGATATCTATGTGCAGGTGAGCCATCTGCAGCCCTCAACCCTGGGAGGGAAGGGTATGATAGAAAGTGGGTGTGGCAGTCTGATGGACTGATGCCCCTGAGTGGGGGTTCCTGCAGGTGCTGCAGGCAGATGGTGGAACCTATGCGGCATGTGTGAATGCAGCCACACTGGCAGTGCTGGATGCTGGGATACCCATGAGAGACTTTGTGTGCGCATGCTCGGCTGGTTTTGTGGATGGCACAGCCCTAGCAGACCTCAGCCATGTGGAAGAAGCAGCTGGTGGCCCTCAGTTAGCCCTAGCCCTGTTACCAGCCTCAGGCCAAATTGCACTGCTTGAGATGGATGCCCGGTTGCATGAGGACCACCTAGAGAGGGTGCTAGAGGCTGCTGCCCAGGCTGCCCGAGATGTGCACACCCTGTTGGACCGTGTGGTCCGGCAGCATGTGCATGAGGCCTCTATCTTGCTGGGGGACTAAGTGTCCATGCCACCATGTCCAGAATAAAGCCCTGCTCTAATGCTCATACATTTTTCAGTGTGCTTTAATCTCCCTCCAGCACTTCAAGAACAGCACAGAACCCTGCAGAGACTGGCCTGGTGCTAACTCCTGAGGGGGACCAGGAGCTACTCCTCCCACCCCCCACATAAAATGATATGCCTCTTTGTAGCCTCAGGATTCAAACCCTGAAGAGGAAGGTGGAGTAAGGGTTTGGAGTGGGGCAAGTCCCGGGCTGGAAAGAGCAGCATGTGCCAGGAAGGGCTCAACACCACTGAGCAGTGAGGTGGAGCCTAGCAAAAATCAGACTAAGGAGTCTGTTATACTCACCCCAGCACATAAAGGGGCCTGAGCACAAGGGCTGAGGGAGAACTTGGTTGGCTATTACTCACCATAGAGACGTAAGCAGCCATGCCCCACATCTTCTAGGCTATAGTCCTTGGCCCCTTCTGCCACTTACTTTGGGCTCTAAAAGTATTATAGACATCTGTTCTTTTTTTTTTTTTTAATGTTTATTTTTATTTATTTATTTATTTATTTTTTGAGACAGAGCCTCAAGCTGTCCCCCTGGGTAGAGTGCCATGGCATTACAGCTCACAGCAACCTCCAACTCCTGGGCTCAAGCGAGTCTC